CTCTATATAGTGAGCAACATAGATGGTTACACCTGCAAGCTCTCGCCCCCTCTTTCTCTAGTTTTCTGTTCAGCTTTGCTCTTTCTTTTCTATTTGTCTCCCCTTCCCTTCTCCTTCTCCTTCTTTTGGGGTCCCTTTCTCTCCCATTCTCCGAAAGCTTCAACCCCCCTTCATAAGATTTCTTCTTTTTCTTTTTCCTCCTTGCTGTGGTAAGTCTCTCTTCTCTGCCCCTTCTTATTAACCATGCCCAATTGCTTCTCTTATTTTCTATCATTGTAATTTTTATATTTTGTTCTCTCTGTTCGATTTATGTAGGTTCTTGTGCTTGTGGTTTCTTTTGATATGAAAAATTATTTCTTGCGACGTTAATTGTGTTTTGTAGGTAATGAATTGCAGCCACTGAAAGCTAACGCTTAACTTCGTCTCTCTCTCTCTATATATATATATATTCAATCAAACAGTTTTGTTGATTGTTAGTAAAATCTAGAAGTTTTTCCTTTTTATTTAATATTCAATCAAGCATTGGTAATGATCTGTTGGTTGGAAGTAATTGAAAAACAGAATTTATCGCGCTAAGTTCGTCTTCTTCTTCTTCTTCTTTTCATGTTATTATTTATCAAGTAAAATGAAAAATGGGATTTTTTTTTTTGCTGAGGGAGTTATTTGCATTACTATTTTTGTTTGTTTTGTGTGGGTGTTGATCTTTTGGGTTTTGAAATTGGCAAGGTTAAAGAAAAAAGAAGATGATTTTGGTGATGAATTGTAGTCAGTGAAGGCTAGGCTTTAAAAGTCTAGTATTTGGCTGCTTCCGTGCCTCCTCTCTTCTGCCAGTAAATGGGCTGTTTTAGTTCCAAAGTAGCAAGACAGTTCCCTGGACATGAGGATCCTGTTGCCCTTGCCTCGCAAACAGCTTGTAAGTTGCTGTTCTAGTTCTTTAATCTTTCCATTCATGGGGTTGCACACTCATGGTTCTAAATCAATTTTTCGGGTTTCTCAAGTTTCTTCAACATAAAAACAGTTCAGCTCTAATTGGTTTATTGCGACATTTTATTGAGGAAACTTTCTTTTGTTTTGGAGAGGCCTAAAGATAAACTGTCTAGCCTAAAAAGGAAAAGAAATCTTAAAGAGAAATTATGTTGAATTAGGGTTCTTTTATTATATAATTTTGCAATGTTTTTTGAAACTATTGCTGTATTTGAAACCATTAATTTTTATTTCTTGAAAGTAATAGGTATGAAATTTCAATGTCTGAAGTTAGCATGCCTTCATTTCCTTGTGTCCGTGTGCGATTGTACCTACACGCTCCTTTTCTTGCTCTTTTTTCTTGTGATAGTCTTTGATCTGTATGCCATTTTTTTAATTCTGCAGTTAGTGTGAGTGAAGTTGAAGCGCTTTTTGAATTATACAAGAGCATTAGCAGTTCTGTGGTTGACGATGGGTTAATAAGCAAGGTATCATTAATGGTTTTTTTTTTTTTAAAAAAAACATATTCGTTTCTTCCTCATCTGTCGGTACTCTTTATTTTTTTCTTGGTTTTAAATTTTTCTCTTCAGCAATGATGGTGCATTTTTTGTGCATCATCTTTTAGAGTTTCTTTATGTGGTAGTCTATGTTTGTCCTACCCCTGAATGCTATTGTTTCGAATTGGATACTTCCAATTAAATTTTAGAATTGCTGATGAAAAACCATGTTTTCATGGCAAAAAAACGAGGAATTTAGTGCTAGATATTTAATATCATTCAAGAAACGGAATTTCTGAAATTGGGTTCCATTTCTGCTCACTTTTTGTGACGTGAAGCTCATTTGAAGACATAAGTAGGGGGAACTGTTTAACCTGGAGGATGTTATGTACTGATTAATGCTTCAGTTGCTCACAGATAGTAGTAGCATGTTGGATTTTAAAGCTGATCACGATGGTGCCCACACTGATATTTATGATTTTTGAAATCTCTTATGTAAATTGTTTTCTTTTTTCAACCACATATGGTTAATCGCTGTCACTGTACATGCAGGAAGAGTTTCAGCTGGCCCTTTTCAAGAACAGAAAGAAAGAGAATCTCTTTGCAGATAGGGTATTCATCTTCCCTTTTCTACTCTCTTTTATTGAGAAGAAAAAAAATTTGAGCAGAGAAACAGCCCTTTGTAATGTTTAATTATTTCATTTTTTTTCCTGACCTGCACTATAGTTATTGTTATCTTAATTGTATATGTTGAACATGGATCTGTCCTGAAATTCTACACGGAGAGAACTATTTCTTTTTTCTCTAAATGAATAATAAGACTATAAGAAGAATCAATAAATCATTGCATCAAGTTAGAAAGACCATGTAAGATTTGTATTTGTTTCATAAGCAGCATTATAAATACTGCTCTGGTCACATTCCATTCAGTTGGATTGGTTTTAACATTCTAACAACTTTGCACGCAGATTTTTGACATGTTTGATGTTAAGCAAAAGGGAGTCATTGATTTCAGTGATTTTGTTAGATCACTCAATGTCTTCCATCCCAATGCCTCACAAGAAGTCAAGATAGATTGTAAGTTGAATATATATTATGTGATGATCTTCAATTGCATAAACTGGAGTTGCATTATATTCTGCATGATCCTCTTCATTTTATTTTGCTGTCTGCTAACTTCTACTGTTTGGAATTTCTTGCAGTCTCATTCAAACTATATGATCTTCATAACACTGGATTCATTGAGCGCCAAGAGGTATGATGATATTTTTTTCTTAATTTTATGAATGTGATTTAGAATTCTTAGTTTTGCTTGTGGACTGGAGGGAAACCCACCCCCCCTCCCCCAAACAGAACCCCGATGCAAAGATGGTCTCCGGCGGTGTTACACCCCTTGTGCTGTTCTTTTACCTGCCACTTTTTTCTCCATATCCGAACTTTCACAGAAGTTGTGGATAATCAGTAGAGAGTATGGTTTGGTTGGGGTTTAAGCATATTTTAGGTTCAGTGCTTATCACTCTGAGGGAATAAAAGCAGCTCAACGGGTTTCCATACAAAATAGAAATGCCCTTTGGGGTTACTGCAAATCATTTAGCATTTACCTCCACTTTGTGGTTTGGGGTATCTGAGGAGTTTATATCATATATTTGTATGTGATTTTCCCCATCAATTTGGAGGTTGTAGTCTCGTTGTTATGATAGACAACTCAAATAAATGATAATTAATTTCCTTTAATGTTGTTGGAAACTATCATTTTCACCAGCTGATGGTACTAACTCTAGCTTAAAAGATCACAGATGACTATAATTTGGTTTCTCAGCATGAATTCAATATCTCTCTCATTCTTCTGATTCTGAATAGTTTTTTTGTCATCTGCCTATGGCTTTTTTTAATAATTCGATTTGATTTCTCTATGGCTTGCTTAGCTGGTGTTTCAAGTTCATTAAGTTACATAATTGTTAGAATTGAAAAGCTTATTGAAGAGAAAGCGTAACACATCTTCCAGACTCATTTCTTTCATTTGATTATCCTTCTATCGAAACTATCTGCTGGCCTGCTGATTGTTTGTGATTGTTTGACAGGTTAAGCAAATGTTGATTGCACTTCTTTGTGAATCGGAAATGAAGTTAGCTGATGAGACAGTTGAGATAATTCTTGATAAGGTGAATTATTTTATCCATCAGAAATACTTTGGATTTTACATGTCTCTTTTAAGTGAACTGATTTCTTTGCTTTTAGCACTACACCAATTCAGGATCAACCACCTGTTCATCTGTTTAGGTTGAGATCCAGCACTGCCATGTTGTAGAGAAATAGTATAAAACATTTATGATTTTCTCATTTAATCTTCCAGGAGCAATTGAAAAGTTTAAGCTGCAGACAAATTGTGATAGACCAAGAAACTGGAAAACTTAGACCCTGATAATAATCTCTCTAGAGAATGGTTTGTTCTGGGTCCACACTTGTTATACCTACCATAAAGCAAAATGGTTTTTATGCCTCGTTGAACTATTGAGCCATCAGGCGGATGTTCAGTGCATGATGACATGGTTTTTTCTGTTTGTCTCAATATTCGAGTATTTCTTTTATTTTTCAGTTTCCAAGAAACTCTTGACCGGGTTTTTATTTATTATTGGACAGACTTTCTTGGACGCTGATGTAGACAAAGATGGGAAGATAGACAAGTCTGAGTGGGAAACATTTGTCTGTAGAAATCCATCCTTGCTAAAGATAATGACCCTCCCCTACTTGAGGTATAAAATAAAACGTCTCTTAGTCCCATATTTATAATTAGCAGTTTGTTATCGAATTCTTCTTTCAATTATTCAGTTTTTTTTTTCTTGCCTGAAATTAATGCAGGGATATCTCAACAACGTTTCCAAGTTTTGTTTTTAATTCTGAGGTGGATGAGATTGCTTCATAGAGGGAGAAGAGAGGAAGAAGTAGCATAGGATGTCACTGCAATTAGATTGAAACACAAGCTCTTGATTTTTGAAACAAAAAGAGAAGTGTGTCTGTTTGAGTTGCAATCTTTCCACATTGACTAGTGAAATTAGTTTTTGTGGTTCTCATCTCAACTGCAAAGGCATTATTTCTCTAATCCATGCTGTAGCTAGTTAAAACTCTGCAGCAGTTATTAGAGTTGCATCACAGTTCTCTTTGTTTGATTGTGGCTCACTAATTTTTTTTGTCTATGTAACCATAAGAAATTCATTCAGTAAGATGGCGAGGAAAAGTGTAGATAAGGCTAGCCAATTGGTCCCTCGCAAAAACATTGAAGGAATGCGTAAATAACTTCCATAGTCGTAAACAAAAAAACTATTTAGTAATTACCTTTTCATTTCTTGAATAAGATAGTCATAGAATTGAGTTTTATTAAAGCTTCAAAAGATCGATACTCTGACCCTTGATCAAGGCCTCAAGCAAGTGTTTTTTTTCTAATTTGTCCTACCTAAGTAGAGCTTTGACTAGACTTGAATGGTGATTGTGCCAAGTTTATTACCTTAATGTAGCTAAATGCAGCGACTGAATTACGCTAAAATGGCGACAGTGGCAGAAAATTCTGTGATCAAAGTTGCAGCTCTCAGTCCAAAATGGCGACAGTGGCAGAAAATTCTGTAATCAAAGTTGCAGCTCTCAGTGATCCCTTCGCAAAGCTTCCTTACGTTTTTCTTTTATACACATGAACGTTAGGAACATCATTTGGCATAGTGGAAACCATGCATTTGTACTTTCTACTGTCATTCGGCATAGTTAAGATTATTTGCGCATTAAAAAATGAAAACTTCTCAAGGTGCGCTTTGACATGGAAATTATCCCGTGAAGCAGGCACATTGCCAAGAAACAATCTTTTAACCTGGAAGTGCCGGTAACTAAACCTTACATTATTCCACAGACACCACAAGTTATAATGCATGCACAGGTGCAAATGACTCTGTTTTCTTTCTGGTATCGTGAAGCTCAAGGTTCATATAGACAAGGAAACCTTATTACAAATGGATAAAGGCGTAATATCATAAACCCACAATGTATTTAAGATTACAGCAATGCCACTAGATGAATCCATTTGACAACCAACACCGACTATCATAAAATTCCATTACAGCTCTAATGGTGTGTATTCATGGCACTAATATTGTCAAGAAAAATTCCATTGCATCCAGGGTTCATGAACAGCTATGGTGGGGTCTTTGTGCCTTCAGCTGTTCAGAAGACTACCTTGATTTCAGATCACAGTAAAGGATTTTCTTCCAAGAAAATCTTTGAAATATTTCGGTCAGTAGGTGTATTTTGTGTACAGTATCAGCTTGTGGCTAAACAGCGTTTTTCCAGTGGCAGTGATAGTCAGCCTGATGAGAGGATATGTTAACGAGGTTCCTGTAATGTTGTTCTATTGAGAAAGCTTGAAGTTACATTGCAGGATCATAGATGAAGCTTGGATAACATCTATTGACTTGAAGAATCTGTATGGCTTTCCTATGGGTTCCAAGGCCAGTAGGTTAATTTCTCTAGTTTCCTGCTCATCTGACGCTCACTGGTTATAAGAAGCATGTGATCTGGTCTTCCTAACATTGTAAGGAAAAACGGATTTGATCCAGTTCCAGTCCTGACAAAGATCCCACTCTCCTTAGCTAGAGCACATATGCCTGTTCCTACCTCTATGATTCTAAGGATGATTCTAGAGAGGGAGAATATGCCCCCGTTGCATATATTATGGTCAGTGGTTTCACATACGGTGAAGATGGAGATCGGGACATGTCTGGCGTCAAATTTCTTGGTTCAGATGTGATGGTTTTCTACCTCTAAGTTCTAAAAGAAGCGTTCATGCTAAAGTGGTAAAACCTGATGCAATGGCATTCAATCTAGTTCTCGATGCTTGTGTGAGGTTCAAATCATCTCTGAAAGGCCAAGAAATAGTTGATTTGATGTCACAAACAGGTGTTATTGCTAATGCACACTCGCCATTATTGTTGTCCAGATCCATGAAATGAATGGGCAGAGGGTTGGGATCAAGAAATTGAAGGATAAAGTCGATAGAGTGTGTGCTCGTTTATGATAGTTTGTTGAAATTACACTTAAAGTTTGATGACATTGACTCAGCTGCAGAGCTCATTTTAGATACGCATAAACGAGAGCTTGTAATATTTTGGAGTGGAAAACTTCTCCGTAGTAACAGAGCCCTGGCAAAGCTTGTCAATAGATACAGAAGAGTCGGGAGAACTTCTGAGCTTTCAAAGCTTCTACTTTGCATTCAACAGGACTTTCAGGCACTCAGCCAGTCCAGTTTATGTTCTGATGTTGATTGATTCTTGCATTCATTTAGGTTGGCTGGAAATGGCTCATGACATCTTGAACGGCATGGATGCAGCTGGGGATCTCAGAGGCTTTACCCCACATATTGTTGTGTGTAGTCCCACACCATGTGATAGTGGAACCACCACATTAATTTTTGTCTCTTAGTATTCAAATTAATATGGTTCAGCTGTAGTGGTAGAATTGAAAATAGAAGAGTAGTATTCAAATTAATGTGGTTCAGTTACTGTAGTGGTAGAATTGAAAATAGAAGAGAAGAGAAGAAAACCAAAAGAAAAAGAGATTTTTGATTTCCAACTTGTTCACCGTTGGCTCAGACTGAGATTTTGACAGTAGCTTCTAGACATGTTACTCTTCATTCTAGACAGTTGGATCGAAAATTGGTGTTGTGGAAGCTGACCGTTTTGACAGTAAATAAGGCTGTCAGTATTGTGAGTTTTTCTTAAATAATTCTCCTTTAATCTTGTTGTAATCCGAGAATAAGTTGTTCTTGATAATATATATATTGTATCCCTTAGTTGAATATGAGAAAGAATGATTGTGAACCCATTATTTGTTGATAGTGGAAGTTTTTAGGTGGACTACGGTCCTGTGGTTTTTCTTGTATCGGGTTTTCCACGTTAAAATCTTGGTGTTGATTTTGTAATTATTTGCATTATATTTGATCATTGTTTGATTCTATTTTATTGCACAAAAAGGGAAAGAATTGGGACTTGTGAATTGTATTTCGTTAAATTAATCCGAGTAAATTAGTATCCAGTTGTTCCTAGTTTTCCCAACAGATATGTTATTCTTAACTGCATATTACAGCAGAGAGATGCTCAAAGAAGCCAAGGCACTGCTATGATAAATGAGGAAGGCTGGTTTTCTTATAAATTTGTCCGATGAGATTGTTGCCACTGCTTAGTCCTTCAGAAGCAGCAAATAATGCATCATCTTCCTCTGGTAAATCAGATCTGATCAACTTTTTAGTTCGAGAAATGAGAGAGGAAGAGAAGGCTATTCCTTCCGGGGCATCAAGAGCAACACTGGTAGCAAGGACTTAGAGGAAAGTAGGGATCTCTGTGAGGTTTTTCCACTGGATTTTATCCGAGGAGCTTATTTTGAGAGAGCAATGGAGGTCAGTGGTTATATGAAAGAGTGTAATATGTATCGTGACAAGCGGATGTATTAAGATGACTTCTTGAAGCTTCATAAGAATCTATGTTGGAGTTTAAAAGCACCGGAGGCAAGCACTGAGGCTCAAAGAAAGAGCCTTAAGTGTGTCAAGGCATTCAGGAAGTGGGTTGGAATTGGTTGATATCTAACTCATGTTTTCAAGTGCTTAGGGAATCTGGGAACCAATGCCCTTGGTTGGCCTTACAAAGCTGAAGCTTTTTCTTGCAACAGTTTTGATCCATAGTAGCTGAATGTGAATGCTTCGGCATAAATTGTTGCAGTGTAAGGGAATTCTGGTTCAGACCTGATGTTTTATAGCAATCATAATCCAAAAGGTTAGTAAAAAATCCATTCTTAGACCCTTCTAATTGGATGTAACTAGGCACCATCTAGTTGCTGCAGATTCTTTGGATTACAAATAAGTTGTTAAGTCGGCCTCCAAACCCAACTGGAATTCATAAAAGTTTGGAGGCTTGAATAAGATGGTCATCCGGCTGTGTAATGATTTTTTCCCTGCAGGGTAGCATGGTTCTCTGCTGAAAAGCGACGAAAGATAGAGAACTCGTGTTTTAATGAAATGAATTATCCAAATTGTATGGTAAAACATGAGGGGGAGTGCGGCAAAATATTCGCCTCATATATTTTCCTAGCAACATCTTAAAAAAAAAAAACAATGGATAATATTGTTTACTGTAAATATATTTTTGTTTGATATTCAAACCACACGTTTTAATTTATTTAGGATTAACTTCTATCATGAAATTAACTGAGTTTAATATTTTTTTTATTTTAAATTTATAACAAACTTAAAAAAAAAATGTTGTTAATGGTAAAACATGAAGGGTTAATTAAAAAGGCTGCACAAAATTTAATTCACAATGTTCATTTCACATATTTATCCCATTAAATTTATAACAAATTCAAAAAAAAAAAAACTATAAATAATGCATTTAGCCGACCACAATAAACACATGAGAAGATGAAGAATATAAAAATACCATACTCACCCCCACAAGCTTTAGATTACAAGTAATTAATGCAGCTTTAGATTACAAGTAATTAATGCCGGTATCTTTCTATGTTTTTAGTCCTTGCATGCATACAATCTAAAGCTGTATGTTTTCTGGTTTATTTTTAGACATGCATGCTCTTGGTGCGACAAACTAATATTTTTGAAAAACAAACGGATCATGTTCAACAATTAGAATAAGAGAACGAATGCAAATATTGGTTCAAACTATAAGGCATTCTTTAGCGTGATGGCTTTAGCATCATGTACAGCACCTGATTTTCTCCTTCCTTCCTTCTCCATCTTGCTTGCTGAGCAGTGGAATCTCCTTGCAAGAGGTTTTGGAGCACCTGTTCCTCGCTCGAATGCTTTCACACAAGTAAAACCTGAGAATATATATTTTTTTTAAGAAAAAACATAATTCTAGCAATATTTTTTTCTGGGACAGTACTTAGTGCCTAGTTTAATTTATCAATGATTTGGGATATGAATCCATACCTGTCCAAAAGTTTTGGTGAATCTCCTTTAATGACAAATCTGTTGTAGGACCAAATGTTATCTGTCAGTTGCGTGATCTATGTATTTTATTTCTCATTTTGTAGTAAAAGGAGAGTTATTTACCTCTAAATATTGATTTTGTTGATGACCCAACATATAAAGTCCTCTTTACGAGGTTCCATAGCAATTCTCTGGGAACAATAATGGGGTCATAACTAGATTTGTGATCAGCAAATACCTGCGTGGTGGTAAATATACTTTTTTTTCAGAGTAATAACTTGATGTTAAACGCTAGCTTATGGCTTCAAATACCTACAACTGGAACTCTCTCTTTCCTCTTTTTTGTCCCTTTGAATGCACTCACCTCGTTAACTTGAAAATATGTGCCATTGAGTGGAAAGCTTCCCTTCAGAGCTGTCCTGCATGGTATCTGCGTATGTGTTCTTTTGCATTAGTTCATTACACAATCGACTTGATTATTCTGACAATAACAACGTGAACAAACACAGTTTTCGCTTACCAAAATTGTTCCACGAACTATACCAGCTTGTTGTTCTCAATACCTTCACAAGCAAAACATGTTTTCTGACCACAGAGTTGTGATCCTTGCGAGCTGCATAATTTCTCAGGTTGCTGGCTTGAATTCGGAGTTTCACCTGGCATGAAGCATTGCCTCAGGTTTAATTAAATATTCTCATTTAGCAAGAATGAATCAAGAGAACTAGAAAATTACCAAGTAAATCCATCATTTACTTCAACTTTTAAAAATATTCTGAATGTTTTGCAATATTGCATGTGATGCTATTGTTGGACGACTTGGATAAACCAGCCTTTCTTCCAGTATTATATCATAAAAGTGTACCTGGTTGCCATATAGCGAGAAGGTAAGGTAGTGAATCATCCCTTTCTCGTTTGTCTAGCTGTATGATTTAGAGTACAGTCAGAAATCGAGTTAAAGCAAGCAGGTACATTAATTTATTACATCGCAAAGTGTCAGGGAACTCTAACTCACCCCAACCAAAATCTCATGATTATCTGGAAGTTCATACCTACATTAGAGTAAACAATCAATTAACATGTAAGATTAAATCTAAACAAACTGTTCCTATATATACTCGTGTTCATAGAGAGATTATACTAATTTATGGACATGAATAAGAAATTTCTACTTACACTTGATGTTCAGTCCGCAAAGAGGTCACACGCTTCATTTTAGGTGCTGACAATGGAGTAGTCCCCACGGAAACTAAAGCTTGCGACATAGAATTGCTGTATGGAGACTTTTTCCCATCTGGGTTGAACTCTTCACGATTGAGTTTGATAGTCGGGATCTCTTCATCTTCAATACATCCATCCCATGAAAAATCTTCAATGTCCTCTTCTTGTTGTGGTGATTTTGGCTCTTCAACTATGGGTTTGCAAGTGTGAACATCTCGACCAGATTCTGTAGTTCTGTTGGCATCTAAAAGGGTAACTGACATTGGATTTTTGACATCACAATTGTTTCCAAGCGAACTAGAATTTCTACTAGGCTTGCTGGAAACAATTGATTGGTCCACACTTTTCTTTGACGGTCCTGGTAGGGAAAGATTGGCAGCACTGCAATCAATTTCTTATGTTAGATTTTATGCGAATAACAAACCATCAGTAAAAAACAATCTAAAATTGTCGAGATTTTTAATATTTTCTGTAGTAAGATTTAATAACGAGAATTGAAGAGATGAGTCTCAAACCTTGCTTGTGCACTTGCATAATGTTTGCATTCTGCTTTCATTGGACAAGCATGGCACCTTGGGTTTTCCTTTGTGCAGAATACCTGCATAAATTCCAAGGCGCATTGTTACCACTACCTTTTCTAGATTAGAATCAAAATTTTAAAAACAAAACTAGAAATATAGTGTTATGACAGACCTTTCCAAAGGTTATCATGTGATAGTGCAGTTCATAGCTGCTTTGGCAAATATATGGAGTCAGTAATTGTTTGTTGGTTATCAAGAAAAAGCAGCTCATAATCGAATGGAATGCACAGATGTGAAACAAATAGTTCAAATGGAAATTTGAGGATTACAGTGTTCTATGGTCAAGCTCGCATAGTCGGGGCCAGAGGTATTTCTGAATGGTGTCCAATATCGGAAACCTGCACCAAAACAGTATCTCATTTCAGTTGAACTCCGAAAATATCAGCTGCGAAGCTTATCGGTGGATGGTACTTACTCTTCTATAAGGTGGAACTGAAGGCTTCCAGGGAGTGCTTTCAGGGGAACCCATCCTAAACGAACCGCTATCCGAGCAACATTTACATCAACCTTGTCAAAGAAATAAAGAAATTGTTGCGTTTACAGGCAAGTTTAATTGGTAAACAAGTAATTGCTGCATTGATTTTGTGACTTACCGGAAAGGCAACCTGTTGAAGAGACAAAAGTCTGATTGACTTACCGTAAAGGCAACCTGTTGAAGAGACAAAAGTCGTACACATTCCACGCTTTTCAAGCCCAATCCCATGAACTCCAACAGGTAATCCCTGTAAGTAGAAGACAAGGTAGTGAAGAAAGTTGGAAGATTTGAGAAGAAAGTAAGTCGTATCCGTCTTGGATGAGTTTCTTATATGTGGACTTACTTCACATCATCAGGTGGAGCATATCGTAACCATTCGAGATCTATGCTTTTATGCATATCAACAACTCGATCCAGAAATTGCTGTAAAATGATGGGGTTATAGTTCTATTAAGAAGAAAATAACAGAGTTAAGAGATGATAAATTCTGACTAGAAAGTATAGAACATGTAGCAAATTCCAAAACCTTGATTCTTCCCGCAATAATAGTTTGCTGACCACGTCCTTCGATGATGCTGGCAACTTTGCTGGTTTCTGCTTGTCTTACTGCCTCCCAATCCACCGAATCCTTCTGATCCTTGCTTCTTGGTCTAGAATAGATCTTTCCTAAACTCTCCCAGTTCCTCCTTCTAATTACCACATCCTTAACAATTTTATTCTTCCCTCTCGGAATTGTCTTTTTAGTCTCCTTAGAAGCTGTTTTCCTATTCGGGCTTCTGTTTTTCTTTTCAGTTTCATTCCCGCTCTGTCTTTTCACCACTTCACGAGGCAAACATATAGGCAGTGCGGTTGGTAAATTTTGAGGCTGTCTTCGCACCACTTCACGAGGCAAGCACATAGGATTTTCAACTAGTAAATATTGAGACACAAGATTCATATCTGGTTCAGGTTCTGATCTCACAATACCATTCTGTCTATGCACCTCTTCCTGGAGCAAGCATATAGCCCTTTCAGCGGGTAAATCTTTGGGTCCATGATTCATATCTGGTTCAGATTCTGATCTCACAACACCATTCTGTCCTTGCTCGTCTTCTTGAAGCAAGCACGTATCCTTTTCAGCCGGCAAATCTTTGTGTCCTTGATTCATATCCGGTTGAGGTTCTGATCTCACAATACCATTCTGTCTTTGCACCTCTTCTTGAAGCAGGCATGTAGCCTTTTCGGCTGGTAAATTTTTGGACCCATGATTCATATCTGGTTCAGGTACTTCTGTTACAAAATATCGGTTACCATCTGCATCATAAGTTGCTGTAGCCTTTTCAGCTGGTAAATTTTTGGACCCATGATTCGTATCTGGTTCAGGTACTTCTGTGACAAAGTATCGGTTACCATCTGCATCATAAGTTGCTCCAATGGATGTCATGCTGCTCTCAATTGTTTTTTGGCCATCTATGGTCATTGACGCTTGTTGATTACTCGTTGACTGAACTAGAAATTTTTCAACAAGTGACATGTATGCAGCACTGCCAACCATAGCAACAAGTTAAACAAAGTTCCCTTCATTAATTGTGTATCGTTTTTCTATGAGCAACATTCCATGAGAAAAAAAACAAAGCCAGATAACTTTTATTTTGTACCTTGATAGGTGGTCTGACACATTTTGGGTTAGGAAAACTCCTACCACTGAGTCCACAACAGAACCTTTCCACTGTCTGAATCTCCTATCACCTGTGAAGCATGCATTGTCTCCTTTAGTTAAATCTATCTGTCTAAATTTAATACAGATATATAAGCTATGACTAAGCAATTGAAAGTTCCTGATATACAAGCTATGACTAAGCAATTGAAAGTTCCTTTCGAAGTGTTTTTCTTAAAAATTGCAAAAACAGCAATGATTTATTAGCTTAGGTTCTTGATGTCTATGTTAAAAACTTAAAGGACAACTAGGATAGAAAATTAACAATATTGTCAAGTATAGAGATGACGGCACATTCTCAGATTGTTCATCAAATTCAGGATTCATTAGCTAGGAATCAGCTAGTCCAAATTCAATAGATTATCGACATATACATACCAAGAAGGCAACGGATGTTCAGATTAGATGACGAATTTCTTCAATTTCCCAAATAAATAATGGGATGGCTATGCTAAGAAAAAACAAGAAAGTAAAGGTATGGCATGTTGAACTGTTATTTCCGCCTAAGAAAAAACAAGAAGGTATGGCATGTTGAACTGTTATTTCCAGAGAAGAAAGGCCCTCAAACAATTCTCAATCAAAAGATGTAAAGCAATGGTAGTCAGCAAGAAAGTACCTAGAAACTGATGCGACCGAGAAGTAAACGCATCTATTCGTCCATTGAAAGTTATTTTTTCTCTTTGCCACCATTCTTTCCTTTTTCTATCTTCTTCTTCACCTTCTCCACTATCTATTTTCATTAATTGGTTCCACCTTCTCAATGACTCTGGATCTAGATCAACTTCATGTCTTGCTCTTCCACGACCCCAATAGGGAATTAAAGCATTCTGTCCGTCAACTACATGTTCCGGTTTACTTTTTGGTCTGCCAGGACCTCTTTTTTCACTCTTATTGTCATTGATGCTTGCATTCCGTAGTAGATCACCAAGTTTATCCATTACAGCATGCTTAACTGTCTTAAGAAGAATCCCACTTTCGTCATTGAAAAGTTTCGGTCCAGCTGCAAAATATTTTTACCCATCGTCACTTCCACATCTAGAAGATAAAGTTTAATAAAAGAACTTGCGAAAGCCATGGTGTAAAGCTTCTGTAAATCTTTCAGAATTGAGAAAGTACTGCTAGTGGGATGGGAATGGATGAAGAAGTATGTATTGCCGAGCTGCAAATTTGTGCTGCTTTCACCAGTTGAACAAAATAAAACAGAAATACTTCGAAGAAAAAAGAATCGAATTCACCCACATGAATATACCCTACGTATATTTTGAGAAGAAATTGTGATCACTGGAAAATTTAGAAGATTTTTACTCTGTTTTTGTTTCATGGAAAGTGAATGCATAAATACTAGTTACATTAGATGCTGAGCAAAAGAAGCAAGAAAACGTATTATTAGTACGTAGTACTCCAGGAGTTGCAAGTTCCTTGGCTTGGAATTTTATCTCTTGCTGCTTGATTCCTAGAGCTGCTTGATAGAGTTAAATTAGGTCAGTATAAAAGCAAGATCGTTATATGTTTCTTCAACTAAGAGCCCGACCATTACTCTTGACACTTGCGAAGAAAGGTCAGAAGTTAATTACTAATCAAAACTATCAACTGATAGTCTCTACACTAGTTTCATAATGTCTTGACTCTAGTTTCTCTTACTATCCTTCCATTCCCTCTCACAATTAGAAATGCTCAGCATTTTTTGCACATTATTTGCTAGCTCTCCCTCTACAAGAAAATTGTTTTTCTTTGTCCATAACCTCCAATAAATTCCTGTTGATGACAGATTTTCCACTGGCACAGAACTTTAGAAGTTCTATAGATGTCCCAAAACCCCAATGCTCTTATCCACTTAGAATATATTTGGGATAGTAACTTTCATCAGATATAAACAACACACATCACAGGAAAAAAAATAATTCGAAAAAAGTTAAAATGAATGCTAGAAAATAAGGTAAACAATTTACACTAGCATCGCAACAGAGATTTTAGTAGAGGGAAGCAAACGTACGTTTTATTGATTTGTCGGTGATTCGGATCTTCGTTTTCCGCGACTGTTGTTTGCTTTTGCCATCTTCAAACTTTGATTTTGCAGCACAGGGTCTCATCTCAGAGCAGCTTGGTGCTTTAGCCTCACAGACTATTTGAACTCCATTAACTTCATTGGTTAGAGCTTGTTTAAGAGAAAGCCCTTCCTCAATGCATCCCTCTGCTAGAGTTTCGCGGTTTTCTCCCTTTAATTTGTCGGTTATTTGAAACTCTAGTTCTCCAGGAATGGGTATATGATCTGTGGGAGCTGTCACTAAATCCTTCCCTTTCTCTGCGAATCTTGCATTGAGAGAAGTGGGATCGACTATTGGAGTAAACACCTTAGATCTCTTCTTTCTTTCATGGCAACTAAAGTGAGACGACCATAAAGAGCTGAACAGGTTCAATTTACGCCTCCTCTTGGTCATTTTTTTCATGCATCTTTTAGGAACATTAGGCCCAGCCTCTCTGCTATTGCCGAGACAGGAGTCTACTCTAAATACCCTTCTATAAGCCTGCAATGAATTATATTGACAAACAGGTTTAGGCCAAAATTTTCCAGCAGACCTCGTTGCACGAACGTTCCATCTTAGTTCATTCTCATTTGACTTGAACCCCAATTTATCATCACTCAACAAAACCATTGCTCCACTATTGTTATCCATGTCAGGCTGCATAGTCGGGTCTTTCTTATCATCTTTCAAATCATGGTTGACATTACTAACCATAGCCATCTTGTTGTCATCAACAGGCAGATTTTCCATCTTTGGAATTTCAGCAACTTCTTTATGATGCTCTCTCACTGAACTCTCTTGGCTATTTCTGAGAGGAGGAGGAGCTTTTTTAATATACTTCCTCTTCTCCTTTTTCTCTTGCATGCATTTCGGAGTTGCAACTTTCTTAACACACTTCCTCTTCTCTTTTGTGTCTTGCATACATTTCGGAGTTGCATCTTTCTCAACACACTTCCTCTTCTCCTTTGTCTCTTGCATACATTTCGGAGTTGCAAGCTTTGGCATCTTTTTGGGAGTTCGTTTTGGTTTACCTTCAACGGCTACTTTCGTTCTTAGCAAGCTTTGGCATCTTTCTGGGAGTTCGTTTAGGTTTACCTTCAACGGCTACTTTCGTTCTATGTTTCTTCCTCTTGGGTTTCTTCACTGGCCTTTTGTGTTGATCCAGATCCATGCCATTTCTTGGTCTTTTGCTGCCACTTTTCTTTGGCAATGGAGTCGAAATCGCAACTTGCTCAACAGGCTTTGAGCACCCAATATGATCAACCTTCTCATAATTCATACGAGAGATTGTACCATGTTCTGCATGTTGTTCTTTACCATCTGCATACCAATTCATCAGGTAAGAAAATTCCGATTGTTTAGAATTCTTACGAGGTAATTACTACTGTATCCAACATATTTTATTAGTCAAACTATCACTAGTTCCTAGAACAAAAGGAAGAACAGAAAAGGAACAATAACTAATTCAAGAAAAGAATTACTTCCATGTGCACAGACAAGATAATAATATAAAGAGAAAAAAAATGACATCATTTACAAGGAAGTACACAACATTTTTCTCTGTATCTATCACTCTCCTCCAGGTCCGGAATAGACAAAAGATTATGGTTTTCAGATTGAAAACCCTCTTCGGAAATACCTCCTGAGTATCTGAAGATTTGAATACCATGAACAGAAGCGGTAGAATTGTCGTTCCAGTCATAGATGCTTTCTTTCAAATCTATCTGAAAACCAGCACCAGTTTCCAAATACTTGCTATTGTTGGGATGTTCATTCTTGCTTGTGGAAGTCGCCGCAGTAATAATTGCACAAATGGGGTCTCGAGCCTCTTCTGCTGCGATTCTTCCCAGAAAACTTTGTGAACCATGTTCCGAGAACCTTTTAACATAGACTGATTGTGGCCTTGCTGGCAGAGGCGGGGGCTTTTCTGGAGTTACTGGAGCACCAACATTCTGTATAGCAGGCTCCCTTTTCTCCATTGCACTGCCAAGTTCTTTGCCTTTTTGTTTCCTCTGATATACCTTCAGTGTTGACAAGCTTATTATACAATCCTAGTACCAATCAAGCCATTATTTGTTTTTCAAAAAAAAAAAACCCTTTTTACAGCAACAGATTAATTTTTTAAACAAAAAACCCTTTTTACAGCAACAGATTAAGAAAAGTTCTTGTGGACAAAAAGAATTGGAAAATAAAATAAAATAAAATAATTCCTGATAAAATTGCAACTGAGATTGGAGAATGTAATATCTGAAAACACAGTACAGGTGAGTAAAGACAGGAAAAAATCAGAACAGAATTGCATGGAGCGAAAACGTCAATATGTCTCTGCTGTGATCTCGGTTGGTTACGAAGGTAGAGGGCAAAAAACGAGGGACATGTACTGGAGAGATTTGTTTGACTACCTGCAAAGCAAACTTAGTTGTGTTCTTAAGGAGACAGCAAGAGCTGGCATGAGTATTTTTGTACTCCAATTAATTAACTTGCTGGAGGATTTTTATTAAAAGCTTCCGCTTTGATTTTTACCAAACTAACGACACCTTTTATTTTATCAACGAGAATTGTACCAATTAGGTATTTTTGAAATATTGAAATTCTTATGGCCTCTTTTTTTATAAAAAAATTGAATTTTATTACTTCAAATTAATTTTTTCCTTGTATTTTTATCACTTTGATTTTAATTTGTTAATATTAAAAATAAATTTTTAAAAATAAAAAAATATTATTATAATATATTTCTAATTAGAAATATTCTAAAAATACAGAGAAGATTGTTTTACCTTACTGGTGGTATTTAAATAATTTCAATGGAGGGTAATGGCCGTGCCATTGTTACTGTCACTGCTAGCTATGATATAAATTAAAAGTTATTTCTGAAATATCCTCAAACAGTAGCAACGGTAACCAATAGCATTTGTTGCTGCTATTATGCGCCTCTACTAGCTAGTAGCATAGGCAAGGGATGCAAATGCAAATTTCCTCATTCTCTAATAGGTAAACAAAATTATATATTATATATTATTTATTAAATTTTGAGTATTCATTTATATATTCATTGTTTACTATTATTTAATATATATATATATATATATATTGAAAAAATATAAGTGTTTTACAAATATATCTACATGGATTTGATTGAAGTGAGTTTTAATTGTGGGTTAAATTTGATAATATTTATACCATATTTATTATTTATTAGTTTAAATAATTAACTAAAAAATACTTATTTATTCATATAAGATTGATTTGATATCTAATCAAGTTCAGACTGAATTATCATTAGGATAATTTCAAAGAAAATTGTTTTGCAATTCTGAATTTTTGGAATAGTAACAACTAGGATAATTTCTATATATTGCTATTGGACGAATCTTTATTTGTTCAGTGGATAAACTTTGTTGTTATTTTTTTTTTTTTTTTTGAAAGTCTGTTGTAGCTACCCTGCCATTGACATATATATCTCAATAAAGTCAATGAATTTATAGATATATATAGAAACATTAAACATATTTTGTTGAATATTACTGTTTTTTCATGCTTAAAACAGTAATATATTTGTATTCAAACGTTCATCTTAGGAAAGTTTTAAATTATATTTGATTTGGCTCTTAATTAATAGCTTAAAATACTACTATTAAAGGTTAAATCTAAAATGTGTTTAAGATTTTGTCCAATTATAAAAAAGAATATTAAAAGGAAAATATAAAATGACAAAATCACTATAGACATCTATAATAATACTCCATCATTTCTCCTATAAAGAGAGTTTTATTGGATTTGTTTATGTAGATTAAGAAAATAAATTAAATTTCATATCAACTCCTACATTTTTATTATATTTATTACATTGCCTTTTTAATTTCTAAGAAGAATAGAGTAGTAAAACTTGGTATTCAATTATTTTCCTTTTTAATACATATATTTTGAAACATGTAAATAAATAAAATTTTCACATAATAACCTTATAGTTAATATTTAGATAATTTAATTAGATAGATTTTAATTCTTAACTTCTTCTTTTAAATCTCTTTTATTCTGTATCATCTTTGATATCAAAATATAATTTTTCTTAGTTATTCATGTCATTAAACAATCCACTTATTCAAGTTCTTGAAATTCAATAACAGTCAGTAAACTCTTAAATTTGTGCGACTTCTCATCAATAATGATAAAAAAAATATAATGATACATTATAAAAAGTCAAGTAATAGTTGTGTCTAATAGCAAGAGCTTAAGAGAGACGTGAAGGAGAAAATGAATTGTATAGGGAGAGTTTCTGTCAATTTTTCATATGTCCTATACTTTCATTTTTAATTATCTTTTATAATAATTTTTTTAAAAGTTAAAAAGTCAAACAAAATAGATAATCATTTATAAGTATTAAGTTATCCCACTTACCTTTATTCGTCAACTTAACATAAATCTATTTGAATGATGAATCACTCTGATATAGTTATCAAAAAACATCAAATTCTATAGAAATGAAACCTCTTATATTGCCAATTTATATACTTTAAAACTTCATGATCAGTAATTAGAATAAACTCTTTTTGTACCAGATAATTTTGTTAATTTTTACAACTCTAAACATTAGCATAATACTTTAAATCATACATTGAGTAGTTTTTATTTGAGCTAGACAAACTTCTCATTGAAAAAGATAGTTAGCCTTTAATCTTTAATTTTGGCGAGAAACTCCTCTAATGCCTATTCTAAATGCATCATAGTTTATCTCAAATAGTTTCTCGAAATCTACAACTGTCAAAATAGGAGTTTTAGTTATATTTTGCTTAACTAACTAAAAATTGTATTCATCTTTATATGTTTACTAAAAGATACACCTATTTAAACACTTTATATAAGTGCAATGAAGAAATTAAAGTTTCTAATGAATCTCATATTGAAGGATGCAAGCACATGAAAATGTTAGATATCATAAACATTTTTTGAAGTTTATCATTCTATAATTATAGAAATCTTGGATTGATTAGTCTGAACATCATCAACACACATAATAAACCCCAGAAAAGCTAAAGTGTTAATGAAGAACTTAGAATTTTTATGGTTCATAAACAATTACTTTTATCTTAAGTATTAAAAATAACTCATAGATACTTTAAATAAGACTATAGAGTGATACTAAATCAGAATTTATCAAAATAAACCATAAAGAATCCGCTCATGAATGGCTTTAGTGTCTAATGAATAAACCTCATGAAAGTGTTGGTAGCATTGGACAAACCAAATGCAATAACCATCTATTCATATAACTCATGTTATGTTTTAAAAGTTGTCTTCCATTTATCTCTTAGCTTGATTTTTATGTAGTTGTAACTGTTGATCTTTGGATTATATATTAATATTTTATGTATTTTGATGATAACAATTAAATGAAATTGGATCAAGTTAATGACTTGAATGTCCATGCACACATGTTATAAACCATCATT